CACACACACACACACACTCTCTCACACACACACACACACTCCATCAGGACAGTCAAACAGGCATTTTATATGTGAGTTCAGTGTTTTTAAAGGATACTTGCATTTGACTCGAACCTTCTTCCCCAGACGATCATTACAAACCACCTCAATCATCTCTGAAACACACACACACACACACACACAGTCTCTATCACTGAGCTCTCAGTACTTTATGCTTCGTTCTATGTGTGTGTGTGTGTGAGAGAGAGTATGTTTGGGTGTGTGTGTGTGTGTGTGTGTGTGAGAGTGTGTGTGTGTGTGAGAGTGTGTGAGAGTGTGTGTGAGTGTGTGTGTGTGTGTGTGTTATATATATAAAACCTCTTTATATAATCTTCATTATTTTGCCCTGCTTTATATAATTATTACTAAATGTATGATGTTTATTTGTATTATTTTAATGGCAGTGTTGTTATTGTGGTCTGAACTCTTCCAGAAGCATCTATGACATAAAACGCGGTGTGTTTCATTTAACGGTAAACACACCAATGCAACACGTGCTATAATATATAACAAAATAGCAATATCGAACACGTGTAAATAATCAGTAAACGCTGTGATTCATACCTGATCTGTGCCGTTGGTTCCCGCAGCTAACCAGACGCGCTTCTCTCGCAAGCGTGTGCCGCAAAGCAGAGCCGTGAAGAACACATCCGCTCACGGTCGACCAATCAGACGCGCGCACGTTTGACTGACAGCGAGTTCCGCCAATAATATTCCAGAGGGTGAGGTCACCATGGAAATTGCCGCCAATCGATTTCAGGCGTCGTGAACGTCTCATTTAAAATGTTATCGCTCCAATTCCCTTTTAATAGCCGAGAAGCCAAAATTAATTAAATCATCTAAACACAGCAAGTTAATTTACACGACAAAACAGCAGCAGAGCTGTGACAAGCCGAGGTTAGTCTAATAATAAAGGGCTGTTGTTTTTTAAGAAATAATAATAATAATAAGTAAAAAGTAGATAGAATAGAAATAGAAGAGAGCGTTCTAGTGTTAGAGGGTCACGTTTTTAATAAATAAAAACAAAACAAGTAGATAGAATAGAAATAGAATAGAGAGTGCTAGAGTTAGAGGATCAATACTGACAGTCATGCTAATATATAAAATATTTTGCATGTTATCGGCGTTGCTGTGGCAGGTCACGTGATGCCTGCTACAATTCTCAACGCTGGCCAGGTTTAGCCAATCACAGCCTAGCGTGATTATCTGAACTCTTCCAGAAGCATCTATGACATAAAACGCCGTGTGTTTCATTTAACGGTAAACACACCAATGCAACACGTGCTATAATATATAACAAAATAGCAATATCGAACACGTGTAAATCATCAGTAAACGCTGTGATTCATACCTGATCTGTGCCGTTGGTTCCCGCAGCTAACCAGACGCGCTTCTCTCGCAAGCGTGTGCCGCAAAGCAGAGCCGTGAAGAACACATCCGCTCACGGTCGACCAATCAGACGCGCGCACGTTTGACTGACAGCGAGTTCCGCCAATAATATTCCAGAGGGTGAGGTCACCATGGAAATTGCCGCCAATCGATTTCAGGCGTCGTGAACGTCTCATTTAAAATGTTATCGCTCCAATTCCCTTTTAATAGCCGAGAAGCCAAAATTAATTAAATCATCTAAACACAGCAAGTTAATTTACACGACAAAACAGCAGCAGAGCTGTGACAAGCCGAGGTTAGTCTAATAATAAAGGGCTGTTGTTTTTTAAGAAATAATAATAATAATAAGTAAAAAGTAGATAGAATAGAAATAGAAGAGAGCGTTCTAGTGTTAGAGGGTCACGTTTTTAATAAATAAAAACAAAACAAGTAGATAGAATAGAAATAGAATAGAGAGTGCTAGAGTTAGAGGATCAATACTGACAGTCATGCTAATATATAAAATATTTTGCATGTTATCGGCGTTGCTGTGGCAGGTCACGTGATGCCTGCTACAATTCTCAACGCTGGCCAGGTTTAGCCAATCACAGCCTAGCGTGATTACTCCGCGCGGATCGCTGCGCCCTCTGTCGGTCAGTGCGGTCACTGCAGCCGAGCCGAGCCGAGCAGAAGCGACGCAGATCATGTCTGACGACCAGCAGCTGCTGTCCGGGTGGGAGAAGCGCATGAGCCGGAGCTCAGGTGAGGCGGAGCGGGCTCGTGTCGCAGGCAAGCCCGGAACAGAGTGGGTGTTTGTGCAGAGAGCAGACACCGAAGCCTGGGCCTGCCACGAGAGGGTTAACTCCACGCGGTCCTGATGTTTGTGTGCAGAACGTGTTAGTGGAGCTCTGGGTCACTGGCCTCTGAAGGGTTAATGCTGGCAGATAAAGCGACGCATGCACGTGCTTTATTTTATTATGAATGGTCTTGTAAATTATTCTTGTGCTTCTACTACAAATACAGTCAGTTATAGTGTAAAACAGCATGCATGTTATTATTATTATTCATCTACAAGCTAAGATGCTTTTTACTTTGCATCTGAGTTTACATACATTCTTCATCTTGTGGGGTGTTTAGGCAGATTTAAATATATATCTAGTGTATAATCATTCAGTTTTAGTCATTTTTAGCAGTTAAACTAAACTTGAAATGTTTGCCTTTGCAGCTTACTGAAATAAATAAGGTTACATTTTTATATTCTGTTTTATTGATTTTTAGCTAATTATAATAAGCACTGTTTTTGAGTGATCTTTATATATATATATTAGTAAAACAATTATATATATTGTCAAACTATTAAGCGCATCCAAAATCTAAGTTTTTGCTTACTCAATGTGTGTGTACTGTGCATATTTATTACGTATACAGTGGGGCAAAAAAGTATTTAGTCAGCCACCAATTGTGCAAGTTCTCCCACTTAAAAAGATGAGAGAGGCCTGTAATTTTCATCATAGGTATACCTCAACTATGAGAGACAAAATGAGAAAAAAAAATCCAGAAAATCACATTGTAGGATTTTTAAAGAATTTATTTGCAAATTATGGTGGAAAATAAGTATTGGGTCAATAACAAAATTTAATCTCAATACTTTGTTATATACCCTTTGGTGGCAATGACAGAGGTCAAACGTTTTCTGTAAGTCTTCACAAGGTTGTCACACACTGTTGCTGGTATTTTGGCCCATTCCTCCATGCAGATCTCCTCTAGAGCAGCAATGTTTTGGGGCTGGTAATTTATATTTAATATATAAACATTAAATATTTTTGTTAAATATATGCATGCATATGTTTGTATTTATATATATATATATACATAATAAATATGCACAGTACACACACATATTGAGTAAGCAAAAACTTAGATTATGGATGAGATTAATAGTTTGACAGCACTAATATATATATATTCCTTCAACTCGACAGTAACATAGGCGTGATCAAATTTGGAACAACTAAACTTACAAATTAGTTTGAAATAAATGGACAATTGTACAATAATGAGAAAAATCAGGTTAATTCTGTCGTAATGCATCTTAATTAGTCCTTAAATCGGCCTCATGATCTGTGTCACATATAATCTGCTGTATTGTTTTTATGTTGATTTGCATGTGATGAGCATGTCATGATGCAGCGGTCTGAAGATCTGTGTGTGTGTGTGTGTCTGTCTGTCTGTCTGTGTGTGTGTCTGTGTGTGT